GAATCCACCTACGTCGAGAAGGCCCTCAGGTCACGGGTGTTTTGAGGAATGTATCTGGCCAGGAAGTGAGGAACATGAAACAGGTCGATCTCCTTTTTTGTTTCTTTTTGTGAGGTCCCTGTAGCGCCCTGCCAGCCAGGCAGGGTGGATTCCAAGCTTCATTGAGTTTCATTGAGTTCCAGACAAGTACTGTAGCATCCTGTATCGGACCGCAATCACAGCATAAGGGACGTTTTTTTTTTTTTGTCTGTTTATCTGCTGTTCGTGGATAGACGGGGCCCTGACTGAACTGCATAGGGCCGAGTTTCAACTGCAATTGAAACTCGGGCCGAGTCTCAACTGCAATTGAAACTCGGGCCCTGACGAACGCAGTTTCGAATGCAATTACAAACTGTTTTGGTGACTGCGCCGAAGTTACCCCATCAATCAATCAATCAATCAAACCCCTTTTTTGAAGTTTTTTCTTTATTTATTTTCAAATTTTGCATCTGCATTTTTTTTAAACACCTTATACCCCTGCAAAAAATAGAAATTCATTTCTAAAAAAATACAGATGAACTCAGGGACCATATATCTCATGATAAAAAATGACAAAAAGAAAGTCCAGCTTTTCTTTATAATTTTTTTTTTTCTTTAAATCGAATTTAGTTTTTGATTTTCTTAAAATCCTAAACAAAGTCGGACTCCAACAAAAAAAAATGGGGTGGTAGGGATTAAAATTCCCTACAACCCCATATATATATATATATTTTTTAACCTATTATTTAATTCAGGAAAATTCTGGTAAAATCGGGTGCGTGGCGCAGACCAGGTAGGCCGCGGATGCGGCCCTATCTGCGTCCGCCATCCGAGATCGGACCCGCGGACGCGTCCGCGGGTGTTTCATAGCAGTGGTCCACAGGAATGTCCGTCACCGTGGAAGGCCATAAAATGCCCCCGCAGTCCTTGGGAAAGACCCGCGGATAGAATGCGTGTGGGGTCCGAGTTTGCTTTTCCGGCCCGTCCGACCAGTTGCCTTTTTTTTAGGGACTTTCGTGTTTTTTCTCTTTTTGTGTATTGTGGGATCAGCGCCTTACCCCTTAAAAGTTTTCTGCTGCCCCTTGGTTGGAGAAGAAGTATGGATTGCAGCACGTGCTTGTACTTTGATCTTTATGTATATGGGACGCTAGACCCGTATTCCAGCACATGTTGCTCCCCACAAATAGATGGAGCCCTGAATTGATTGTTAACAAAAAAAAAAAAAAGAAAAAAAAAAGATGTATTTTTGCAGGGAAAGTGGGACCCCACCTGCAATTATTTTTTTTGCTGTGAAGCTACTGGGGACCAAGTGCCACTTAGTACCCCAATTTTCAATTTGGGATAATCGGTAGGAGCCCACGCCAAAACCTTTTCGGTTTTGGCCGCCCGAAGTTTAGCCGTTTGGCAGTACCGGCCCAATGACTTGCATGTGGGGTACTACAGGCCCACGCGTCGCTCCAAGGGTCCTACCGGTTCATGAATCTGGCGCATAACAGAGCCATATTCATTTTGATGTAAAAGAGGCCGGGGGTGGTGACCCTGAAGTATAGAATGAGGCCCACGTACGCGATTTTGAAAAAGAAGGGCCCTACCGGTTCATGAATCTGGCGCATAAAAACAGGCCCAGGGAGATGTGGCCACGGGAGATGTGGCCACGCCGCGAAGGCTCCTTTCACCCAGGGGAAAGTTGTTTGGGCCGGTAGTACCAAACGGCCGAAATTTGGGCGGCCAAAACCGAAAAGGTTTTGGCGTGGGCTCTTTCTACCAATTATCCCTTTCAATTTCTGAGCGTAGATTACGACGATCAGCGGCCAGAAACGAAGAATAGGGAGGGGAAGCCGGACTTGGCACGGCAGGAACGAAAACTAAACAACCATGATAACCAATTTTAATAATCTTAATATCCACGGGCTGGTCATGTGACCTCTTCCACCCGACTAGGCACAACCCCGAAGAGCCTGAGTTGTCATGACGGGTTTCTCACCACGCACCCTTGGATCTCAATTGGTGAAACGATCTCAATGGGTACACCTCAAGTATCCTCCCCCTTGTCTCCTCTGTTACCACCTCACCAGAAGCGCTCCCACTACCACTTCATTCACTGGCACTGTGTTCGGCAGCACCGCAACTGGTATTTCCCAAGAAGTCGAATGTGCCGCACCTGTGGTAATTACTCCAACAATTACTGAAAGCAAAGAAATTAGACGAACATCAAATAGCTAATATGTAATCTCGAAGCGACAGATAAAAGGAATAACACCAAACTTGAAGTATAAGAAACTCAGACTGCCTTGCACCGTAGATAGGACAACCGAGCCTTGCTATAGCCTTTGGACGAGCCGAAGCGCTGCCACCGCAACCTTAGATTCTATTGTAATT